GGCTGCTAACCCAAAATCATCCATTCAAAACCATCAGTTGCTCAGAGGAAAAAAGATGAAGCTGTCTGCGCCCATAAAGATTTATATAGTCTCAGAAACCCTATGGAGTAGTACTACTCTGTTCAATAGGGTCACTATGAGTCGGAATCAACTCAATGGCAGTGGTTTGGTTTTTATACTGAAAAATGAAGCCAATACTAACTCACTTCTAAATTTGAGCCTGCCAGCAGCTCCTAGGGAAAAAGATGAGGTTTTCTGATTCTGCAAAGATTTAAGGTCTTGGAAGTCCTATACAGAGTACTATGAGTTGGAACAGACTCAACAGTACATAACAACAACAAAAAACCTACAAGTGTTACTTGCCTCTTTTCACAAATGTTAAAAAAAAAACTTTATAACGGAAACAAGCAACTAACTTAGAGGGACAAAAATGAGTTTAAATTCTTAGGCAAATTCTCCTCTGAGAAAAATATACCTAAGTTGTTATTGTTGTTGTTACGGGCTGTCAAGTTGGTTTCAACTCATAGCAACCCTGTACAGGACTTCCAAAGAGCAGCTGTTGAGTTTGAACCGCCAACCTGTGGTTCAAACCAACCTTTCGGTCCAGTGCATTGTCCTGCAGCACCACACCAGGACTTCTATAAATCAATTAGGCTACATTAAAGAACCAAAAACCATTAAATGGCCTGTTCTCAAATTTTATACGATTAAAAACTTACTGATTTGAATTAATAGAAGCTTTCTGATACCTTAAGGAAGGTATTTATTTGATATCCTTTATTTCCAAGGAGGACTTAAATGAAAAAGCTGATATTACAGTAAGGAAGATGCGCTTTGACGTAAGAATTAATAACTTGAAAAGTAATTAAACACTATAATAAAACAGCATGCAAATCTATGTCCTTAGGGTCTCAAGAATAGGACAGATAGCTATCTTGGAAAAGTTAGAAGCAATTTTGCAGGAAAAACTGGAATGAGCAAGAGAATCTCTTAAACCAGCTTCCAACTTCAGGATTCCAAGTTCTACATTTACAGCAAATAGAGTCTTTGCAAGATAATGCACCTATAGAAAGCTATACTAATCTTCAAACCATTTCAGCTTAGCTTCAGATACTGGGTTTCCTTTTATTCACTTTCGTACTCACTTGTTGTTGCTGTTGTTAAGGACCGCCGAGTTGGTTCCAACTCATAGTAACCCTGTATAGGGTTTCCAAGGAGCAGAGGGTGGGTCTGAACTGACAACAAAGTGATTCACAGTCCAGTGCTGATCCTATAGCACCACATCAGAAGTCCATGTACTCACTTAGGAACGGAAAATTGACTGCTTCTATTAAGAAGCAGTTCCACCAATCAATCTCCAGCAGCATGACTGACAACTCAAGTATGCTGTTGTTTGTTGTTAGTGCTATGGAGTCAGTTCCAACTCACAGCCGCCAATTTTTGACTCACAGCGATCCTGTATAGGGTTTCCGAGGAGTGGTTGGTGGCTTTGAACTGCCGACCTTGTGGTTTTCAGTTCAGTGCTGATCCTATAGCACTACACCAAGAATCCAAGTGTAAACACTAAAAAAAGGATACAACTATAAACAACCTGGTTCTCAATGAAACAAAGGAAAATTGCTTCTATCTACATAATGGGAGTCCTGGTGTAGCGCTGTAGGATAAGCACTCAACTGTAAGGTCAGTTTGAACCACAAGGTAGGCGGTTCAAACTCACTAGCCAATCCTCAGAAACCTTATACAGAGTCACTATGAGTCGGAACCAACTCAATGGCACTTGACAACAACAATCTACACAATGCACACCAACCTAAAACAATAAAATAAAAACACAACTCAGTTAACATGGAAGAGGACTGAACAGGCCAAAAGATACATCAGCCAGTTTTTTCAATAAAAAGCAAATTCTTACTTTTGAAAATACTCCAACTTGGGTTTCATTTTAGAAGCCTCATTTTAAATAATGACTTTTATTTACCAGATTATTCTTAACAGACATAATGGTGGTTATTTATTACAACTCTAAGCAGTTCCGCGGGAAAAAGATGAGGCAGTCTGCTCCCATAAAGATTTACAGCCTTGGAAACCCTGAGTAGGGTCACTATGAGTCCGAATATACTCCATAGTATTTAACAGCAAAAACAACAAGCAGGTACTTATGAAGTCATAAGAAGGTTAATCATCTCCAATTCAACAGGCTAGCCATGACAATTTACAAGTTATTTGGCCAATCTTTATTAGGACTAAGGAACACTGGTGGCACTGTGGGCTAGGCGATGAGCTGCTTACTGCAAGGTTGGTGGTTCAAACTCATCAGCCATTCTGTGAGAGAAAGGTGAGGCTGTCTGCTGTGGTAATGATTTACTGTCTTGAAATCCTATATAGGGTCATTATGAGTCAGAAGCGACTCATAGTGGCATTGTGTTATTACTGAAGTTAGATATTAAATGACTTAAATGAATTTATACTTTATTATAGATATTTTTACTTCAACAACAGATACAAATCTTTTGACCAAGTATTATGCATACATTTCTTTTAACTAGATTTTGTTAATTATGGTGCATATTTATCTAAAACACACTCTGTCGAGGCAAATTCTGCCAGGGCAACTTAGGAATCAAAATGCAGTAGCTTTCCTAAGAAAGAAAACAACAAATCTTCCTAGTTTTAGTTCAAAAATACTTTTCATCTTATAATGAAACAATACAAAAAACACATGTCTTCTACACCCAAAAGAATAAGGTAAAAAGATTTAAAACTGAATTATCACTTAATTGCTTGTATTCCTAAGAGGCTACTGAATTCCAACTGGTGTGACTTGGTTTAAACCAGAACATATTTTTTAAAGGCTCACTCCTTTTTTCAGAAATGCATCATACCTTATTTTATAGAGCTAATAGGATATCAGTATACATGCTATTCCATGATGACTTTGAGTTTACAAATCTTTATCAAAACTTTTAAGAAAATTTTTATAATTCCACGATTATTTTTTAAGTCATTCTTTTTCACACTCGACTTCAACTATTCCTCACCTTCCACAACACCTAAAACAAACAATCTTTGATGTTAAAGATACACACCTCAAACACATAAAACTCAATACACTATTTCTATAGCTACAGTAATTGTGCTGTACTAATAAAGACTGACTCTAAAGAACTAAAAACGTATTAGGGCAGGGTTTAAATGGTACAACTCACAAGGGGGTGGGGAGAAATAACCCTCCCCCACCATACTGGCAGCAACAATATGCCAAGTTTCCTATGCTTAACTAGTGTAAACAAGGAAGAAAAAGAGCAGGGCGGAAGGGGGGAGGGAAGAGACAGACAGAAGAACAACCCTCAAGATAATAGCTTTACTTCTAAATTTTATCAGAGTAGTAACTCTTTTCAATGTGTTCAATAACAAGTCACTATTTAAACACTACAGGTAGAAGTACTAAGAAAACTATTTAGGCTGCAGTCCCTTACCTGAGATTATTCCCAACATTAAAAAAAGACAAGAGGGGATTCACAAACGCTTCTTTAATTCTAAAGACTATCCCCTGCTTCCAATGTCTCAAAAAGTTTTCTAAACATCTAGAAACTCAATCCCACATCTTTAAAGAGAATAGAACCTGAGTTGATACGGCTCAGGGAAAAAAATCAGCTTTGGTGCAGGCAGTTACAAAGCTCTCATTAGTAAGATGGGCACCCATGATAAGGGCTAGGTGAGGAGTGGGATAAAGATAAGCTAACAGCCTCTTTTCTAGCATTTCCTGAGGCATTCGGTGGACAAGGGATACGGGGGAAGGTTGGGTTGTGCATGTGATGCCAAGAGAAACAAGACTCTACATGTCAGAGAACTAATGCCCAGCACAGAGTGCAAAGGGCATTCACATCATTGTTTTTTGACCCAAGAAAGATTAGTTGCTTCACCTGAGATCCTTTCTAATATTCGCTACTCCATCCCTCACCCTGAGTGAACTCAACAGTCCCTCCTGGGAAAACAAATAAACCAGGGGGGAAGCCTGGCTTATCAAAAATAGCAAGTGCTACTTCCAAAGCTGAGAAACACTCCTTTAAGTGTGATGGTTTTCTACCTCAATTCAGACTTCTACAAGGTGACTCCAATTCAAAAAATACTAAGTTTTCTATATCCCCAAACATCTACCAACCCAACTTTTTTTCAGATAAGCTCCACTCCATTTCCAGCATTCTAGAGACCTTTCCCAAAGTTTCCCAGTTGAACCTTCTCCCTAGGGCTCCATTCCCTTCATAAAGTTTCCTCCCCCAAGATAATCTCCTTTCCCCCACTTTTCCTAAGGTTTCCCCAGGCCCTGCCCCAATTCAAGCACTCTCTAGGCTCTTTTAGTAGATTCACTAGTAGATCTCCTTCGTCCAGGGTGCAGTTCTCTTCGGAAAGCCATCTCTTGCACCATATTCACTTGTCAATTCTCATATTCTCCACTTTTCCTACCTGTCGTCAGATAGGGAACAAACACACTACACATTATCTCTTCCTCCCAGCTTCTAACTCGCAAGTCTTCCCCATGCCCCAGGTCCTTTCAAAGCACCCAATTCTCACCCACATCCCACACCCCGAGTTTCCCTTCATCCCTAGCACCCTCAGCCCCTAACTCCAAACCCCAACCTTTTTCCCCATTCCCCAAATCCAGATTTCCTATGCCTTTCACTCCCAGCCAACACCACAGAGCCGCCTTCCTGTCCTTTTCCCTCTTCCGACGTTCTTCGGTCCCTAGTTCTCCGAATAACCTCAGGACCCCCCTCCTCAATCCCTTCTGTCCTTCTAGTCCCCCCCCCCAACTCCTTTGGTACACCCTCTCTACCCCAATGTGTCCCAATTTTTTTTCCCACACATCCGGACACCCCACACGCCCGTCCCGTCCCGGGAGGGAATGCCCCCTCACTATCCGCCCTGTCCTCGGGCTCGGTGTCCCTTCCCCTCGGGGCCCCGAGGCCGTTGCCAGCGATGGCGCGGCGGGGCCGGCTCACCAGTTGGTCATGTCCAGGAAGAAGGCGCAGCCGGCCGGGTTGAGCTGGAAGCCGAGCAGTCGCTGGAACTCGGAGATAAGCACGTCCTTGTCGGTGGTGCCCAAGCAGCTGAACTTCTGCATCAGCTCGGGGTCCAGGTCCACGTCCATACCCTCCATGGCGGGGGCCAGACACCCACTTCCCCGCCTCCTCACAACCGAGCCGCCGCCGAGCCGCCGGGCCCGGGAACCGGGAGGGGGCCCGCTGCAAGCCGGTGCCGCGACCCCGCTCCTTTGAGGTAGGCCCCGGGCCTCTCACCGTCTCATAGGGGTAAACTCACTCAACCACTCACTCACTCTCACGCTCCCCCCCCC